TCAAGCTAACCCTATTAACTTATCGTAACGAAGACGAGGGACAGCAAAACAAATAAAAATAACGAGTCAAAGAAACACTCGAAAATCTTCCCACCTGCTGCATCAACTCCCTCTCTCGCTTCAGAAAGTCCTGCTTCCTGGCCTCCTTATTCTTCTCTTCCTTTTCCTCACGCGCCACCTTCTCACTCTCGTCCTCTTCTTCCTCCTCCTCCTCCTCCTCCTCGTCCTCCAGCTCGATGGGCTTGTCGGGTTCACCGGTCATGGCGGCGGCGGCGGCCTTCTTCTCTGCCTCTTTCAACAGCCGTTCGCGCTCCTTCTGTTTACGGTCGCGCTTCTCCTGCAGCCTGGGGAGGGAGTCACACATGTAACCTTCTGTTGGACACTAAGTTTTAGCATTATTTCTTGTTATTTACTTTTAAGATCATTTCTTACATAACAAAGGATGACCAAGCTTCTAATGACACACACACACTATCTCCTTCCTGATCAATAACTCACCTGGCAGCATTGATCTCCTTCCTGATCAATAACTCACCTGGCAGCATTGATCTCCTTCTCCTTCCTGATCAATAACTCACCTGGCAGCATTGATCTCCTTCTTCCTCATCAATAACTCACCTGGCAGCATTGATCTCCTTCTCCTTCCTCATCAATAACTCACCTGGCAGCATGGATCTCCTTCTCCTTCCTCATCAATAACTCACCTGGCAGCATTGATCTCCTTCTTCCTCATCCAATAACTACCCTAGCAGCATTGATCTCCTTCTCCTTCCTCATCAATAACTCACCTGCTTGAAAAGCATCCAGTCTCCTTCTCCTTCTCCCATCAATAACTCGCAGCGTGATCTCTTCTCCTTCCTCATCAACTTCGCTTCCTGGCAGCATGGATCTCCTTCTCCTTCCTCATCAATAACTCACCTGGCAGCATTGATCTCCTTCTCCTTCTCATCCAATAACTCTCACCTGGCAGCATTGATCTCCTTCTCGCCTCCTCCATCAACTCACCTGGCAGCATTAGTCCTCTTCTCCTTCCTCCATCAATAACTCACCTGGCAGCATTGATCTCCTTCTCCTTCCTCATCAATAACTCACCTGGGCAGCATTGATCTCCCTTCTCATAATAACTCACCTGGCAGCATTGATCTCGCCTGCTTCCTCATCAGCCGGCGCTTGTGATCTCGCTTCTCCCTTCCTCATCAATAACTCACAGCATTGATCTCCTTCTTCCTCATCATAACTCACCTGGCAGCATGGATCTCCTTCTCCTTCCCTCTCATCTTCCACCTGGCAGCATGGGTCTCCTTCTCCTTCCTCATCAGCACTTTCACCTGGCAGCATGGATCTCCTTCTCCTTCACTCATCAATAACTCACCTGGCAGCATGGATCTCATACCCTTCCTCATCAATAACTCACCTGGCGGCATGGATCTCTTCTCCTTCCTCATCAATAACTCACCTGGCAGCATTGATCTCCTTCTCCTTCCTCATCAATAACTCACCTGGCAGCATTGATCTCCTTCTCCTTCCTCATCAATAACTCACCTGGCAGCATTGATCTCCTTCTCCTTCCTCATCAATAACTCACCTGGCAGCATTGATCTCCTTCTCCTTCCTCATCAATAACTCACCTGGCAGCATTGATCTCCTTCTCCTTCCTCATCAATAACTCACCTGGCAGCATTGATCTCCTTCTCCTTCCTCATCAATAACTCACCTGGCAGCATTGATCTCCTTCTCCTTCCTCATCTGGGTCAGTTGATGTAGACGCAATTTATTCTTAACCTCCTTCAGCTTCTCAATGTTGTCATCAATAATGTCCCGCACTGAGGCGTAAGTTAGGATCTGGCCCACCAGTACACTCAGGATCTTCAACTTATACGCTGAAGCAGGAGGAAAAAACATCAGTCACTCTTTAGTTTGACCCAAAAAACATCAGTCACTCTTTAGTTTGACCCAAAAAACATTAGTCACTCTTTAGTTTGACCCAAAAAAACACCAGTCACTCTTTAGTTTGACCCAAAAAACATCAATCACTCTTTAGTTTGACCCAAAAAACATCAATCACTCTTTAGTTTGACCCAAAAAAACACCAGTCACTCTTTAGTTTGACCCAAAAAACATCAATCACTCTTTAGTTTGACCCAAAAAACATCAGTCACTCTTTAGTTTGACCCAAAAAACATCAGTCACTCTTTAGTTTGACCCAAAAAACATCAGTCACTCTTTAGTATGACCCAAAAAACATCAGTCACTCTTTAGCTTGACCCAAAAAACATCAGTCACTCTTTAGCTTGACCCAAAAAACACCAGTCACTCTTTAGTTTGACCATATGTGTCTAATTCTTTCCCTTAACAATTAACCACAAGTGAGGAGAGACAGTAAGTGTTCCTCCTGGCTGGTAAAGTTGTTGACAACTGAGGGGATGAATGACCATTACTTAAGAGGGAACAAAAGAGGTTTACATAGATGAATGACCATTACTTAAGAGGGAACAAAAGAGGTTTACATAGATGAATGACCATTACTCAAGAGGGAACAACAGAGGTTTACATAGATGAATGACCATTACTTAAGGGGGAACACACCTAAGGAGAGATCAAATATAGTCTGGGTAGATAGAGTTTTTATTATGATGGGTTCCTCCAGCTTGAATTGTAGCCCTGGATCATCCCAGTTTTTGAAGCCTCCACGGTTCAAGTGCCTGAAAAAGGAAGGCATCAACTTAGTCCGCTGTACACTGTGAAAGTCTTCTCTTAATACATTACATTTCTCAATCTTATTCCTTATTATACATAGCTTGGGGGGAGAGCAGCCAACACATGAACCAACACTCTCAGCACCTACAGTAGTCATGTTGGGAGTCCTGTCCTCACCCCTTACTACACTACACCACACGCATGAACATTTACCTCCATCGACCATTGGCAACACTGGTAGCCCCCGATGCCAGTAGATGTAAGCGTAACACCTCAGTGACTGTCAGGGCGTCAAGCGGCACCTTCTGAAGCGGCAGTCCATGATATTGCTGGCTCCAAGTAGATGCGCGGTTGGCGACCCTCACTGCCTCCTGTATGGTGATGTCGCTTGTGTCTGTCTCCATCACTGTCAAGTGAAGGAGCGTTACAATACATGAAGCACCAAAAGCTCTCTCCCTTTTCTGCAACTCTTACTAGAACTTTTCCCTCTCTGGTAAAAATAAGCCAAAGTCTACACTACAACACACAAGTCACCCCAAGCCCTTCAACAACACACAAGACATCCATCACCTTTACACAGTTCTGCTACACCACTCAGTATACCCAGGTTCATAAAACATAATGGTAGGCTCATATTGTACCTGCCTTAAGTAAGAACATAAACAAGTTGTAGCACACCTTCCTCAGCGGTGGGGTCAGCATCCACTTCATCGTCCTCCTCCTCCTGCAGTGTGAAGATGCCCTGAAGCAGCAGCTGCAGCACATCATTAAACACACCTGCCAAGTGGACCATTATACAACCAACCCTTGTCTGTGTCACCAGCTTACATAAACAACATGTCCCCAACACTGTCTTTAGTACACACTTATCTTACAATACTGTCCTCACTCATAGATGATATAAGGAGAAAATTAAAATAAATTATATGTACACTAATAACAATAATATGAACTACAGCAATAGCCTAGGGCAGCATAGATCCTCAGCTGTCAACAAACTTTGAAAAAAAAAAAGTAATCATCTTGTTCTATCAGCTTGGAACATACTGTAGTTCCACCTAGCTCGAGGTTCATTGTGAAATACAAGTATATGTGATATAACTATATAACCTATGATGTATGGTATACTGTATATGGTGGCAACACTGTACACTAAGCCTTCATGGTGTATAAGGCACTCTGCATGACATGGTTAAGTCTACCATGGGTCAAACAATTGTTTTCTATGTCTCCAGACAGCTCAGTCCATGATCTATAATACTATAGCGCGTTTCTTCCCAGCCGAGAAAAGGCCCCGCCCTCTCCTCAAGAGTTACAGCTGATTGGCTGTTGCAAACCTGTCCATTTTGTCCTGAGTAATGATGTATTTCTAAATGAGTTTATTCATAATGACCGTTTCTGACGAGAAAGATATTTAACTAAATTATATATAGATATATACCTTCATTATTTCAAACATGTAGGAAATTTATCAAAACTATTAAACGTTAATTAACTAAAGGGAGCAAATTCACGCTTTCGGAGGATGCATTTAATATATACTTATTTTTACCTACAATAAGACATACTAAGACAAATTGCATATCAGGAATAGTAAATTATGCAAAAACGACATTTGAAAAGATCATGATCACATTGAAATATTACAAGGCCGTCAGCAGAGGTGGGAAATATGACTGCGAACTACTTCATATTTTTCCCACCTCTGCTGACGGCCTTGTAATATTTCATTGTGATTCTGATCTTTTCAAATGTCGTTTTTGCATAATTTACTATTCCTGATATGCAATTTGTCTTAGTATGTCTTATTGTAGGTAAAAATAAGTATATATTAAATGCATCCTCCGAAAGCGTGAATTTGCTCCCCGAGTTTACCAGTTAATTCACGATTAATAGTTTTGATAAATTTCCTACATGTTTGAAATAATGAAGGTATATATCTATATATAATTTAGTTAAATATCTTTCTCGTCAGAAACGGTCATTATGAATAAACTCATTTAGAAATACATCATTACTCAGGACAAAATGGACAGGTTTGCAACAGCCAATCAGCTGTAACTCTTGAGGAGGGGGCGGGGCCTCTTTTCTCGGCTGAAAAAAACGCATTATAGACAGACAACATGTGGCGGGCTCACCTCTATCAATTAAAAAATCCGCCTTGTATACAAGGTTTTGAGATCACGAAAAACTTAGAACCCCAATATTTCAAAATATTATTTTGGCGGGCTTGTCCTCGTCGTGTGGAGCACTTCATATATGATGGCAACACTGTGTGTACACAAACACCAAGAGAGGAGACTGACCTGCAACTTCCTTCTCCACCAGTGCGTGTTCCAGCATGTCAAAGGTGATGCCCTGAGGATACACGTCTCTCAGCTCCACAAGTTCAGAGAAAACGTTGACGAACTCCAACACCATGATGAAGTCGCTGAACAGGTCGTCCGGGATACGGCACCTTATTGGAATGGGTTTTGGCAGGTCCTGTGGAGGATGACAGATCATGTTCAAGTTCTATGAGGAAAATACTGATACACAGCTTGTTAACAGTATAGATGTGAGAACCTGCTGGCAAGAGAGAAACTAACAGTGACACCACCACTACTGTGGAGAGCAGCACCTGCCTCCTGTTGATGAGTAACACCAACAGTACCAAACTGTGAAGGAGTCTAACATGTGGTGAGTGAGGGTGGTAGTGACCACACTACTTCTTGTGTGGTGAGTGAGGGTGGTAGAGTGTACTGGTGACCACACTACTTCTTGTATGGCTCGGGTCACTCACCAACACCTGCCACAACAGTTATTATATGTCTTATTTGTGTCACTCATGTTACTTGTATATTATTTGTAATTCGTAACCCATTCACCAAATATGTAACTGTATATTTTCAGCCTTCTGGCTGCCAAGCTCTTTCAATAAACCGTTAATTATTATTATTATTATTACACACACACACACGCACACACTCACACACTGTCACTATGTTGAAATGAACTGTAGTCTGAGCTTTTCCCCATCTAGTTATTATATGTCTTATTTGTGTCACTTATGTCACTTGTATATTATTTGTAATTCGTAACCCATTCCCCAAATATGTAACTGTATATTTTCAGCCTTCTGGCTGCCAAGCTCTTTCAATAAACCGTTAATTATTATTATTATTATTATTACTGTACACTGCAGCATGTTAATAGTATAAGGTAGAACTTCAGTTACTACACACCTGATGGTCGTCACATGTTACTACCCACCTTATGGTCGTCACGTGTTACTACCCACCTTATGGTCGTCACGTGTTACTACCCACCTTATGGTCGTCACGTGTTACTACCCACCTTCATGGTTGTCACGTGTTACTACTCACCTGGTTGTCACAGTCCAGGTCGTCACGTGTTACCACCCACCTTATGGTCGTCACGTGTTACTACTCTCACCTTATGGTCGTCGTGTTTACTACTCACCTTATGGTTGTCACAGTCCAGGTCGTCACGTGTTCTGTTCCAGTCCTTGACATACTGTACGTGTAAGCGCTCTCCTCCTTCTTTATCTCCCTCTCTTTCTTCTTCTCTTCTCTTTTCTCTAACCTTTGTTTAGTTCCTCTCTTAGTTTTTCTTTCTTCTCAGACTTCAACCGTCCTTCACCTCCTTACTCCTGTTAAGTTCACATCCACCTTTAGTTTCAACTCTTCTCTCCATAACCATTACAGTATTTGTTGAACCCTAAGTGAACTTGTATGACAATGTTACTGAACACAAGTATATATACTGTACTGTACTGTACTGTATCTAACTATTAACATGTGTAAAAGTTGTAGATGTGATAACATGATAAATCTTTACAACATATATAATGACAAAAGGGCCACAAAAACGTCCATATTTTGTGTATGATAGTGATGAAGGAGGGAGGGAGGGAGGGAGGGAGGGAGGAGGGGAGGGAGGGAGGGAGGGAGGGAGGAGGGAGGGAGGGGAGGGGAGGGAGGGAGGGAGGGAGGAGGGAGGGAGGAGGGAGGGAGGAGGGAGGAGGGAGGGAGGGAGGGAGGGAGGAGGGAGGGAGGGAGGGAGGGAGGGAGGGAGGGAGGAGGGGAGGGAGGGGGAGGGAGGGAGAGGGAGGGAGGGAGGGAGGGAGGGAGGGAGGGAGGGAGGAGGAGGAGGGAGGGAGAGGGAGGGAGGGAGGGAGGAGGGAGGGAGAGGGAGGGAGGGAGAGGGAGGAGGGAGGGAGGAGGGAGGAGGGAGGAGGAGGAGGGAGGAGAGGGAGGGAGGGAGGAGAGGAGGGAGGGAGGGGAGGGAGGGAGGGAGGGAGGGAGGGAGGGAGAGGAGGGAGGGAGGGAGGAGGGAGGGAGGGAGAGGGAGGGGAGGGAGGGAGGAGGGAGGGAGGGAGGGAGGGAGGGAGGGAGGGAGAGGGAGGGGAGGGAGGGAGGGAGGGAGGGAGGGAGGAGGGAGGGAGGGAGGGAGGGAGAGGGAGGGGAGGGAGAGGGAGGGAGGGAGGGAGGGAGGGGAGGGGAGGGAGGGGAGGGAGGGAGGGAGAGGAGGGAGGGAGGGAGGGAGGAGGGAGGGAGGAGGGAGGGAGGGAGGGAGGGAGAGGAGGGAGGGAGGGAGGGAGGGAGGGAGGAGGAGGGAGGGGAGAGGGGAGGGAGGGAGAGGGAGGGAGGGAGGGAGGGAGGGAGGAGGGAGGGAGGAGGAGGGAGGGAGGGAGGGAGGAGGAGGGAGGGAGGGAGGGAGGAGGAGGGAGGGAGGAGGAGGGAGGGAGGGAGGGAGGGAGGAGGGAGGGAGGGAGGGAGGGAGGGAGGAGGGAGGGAGGGAGGGAGGGAGGGGGTGTGTGTGAGGCAGTATAGTATAACAGCACCAGGGAATGAGGACATTAAAACAATGACTGGAGGACAACAAGCCATGAGACTGGAGGGGGAAACCACTTATTTGTTTCACACTTTGATGATGATTATTATTATTTATTTCAAACGTTTTTTCACTCATATACTGAAAAAAAGAAATGTTTTCAAGTAGTTATATCTATACATACATAAATTGTGGCATTAAAATGAGCCAATGAATTGCAATAGTGGCAGGGCTTATACCATCAACTAACTACAGTGACTAGAGAACAAAGAATCAGTAAGTGTAGAGAACAGAGAGACGTACAGTTTCTTCCGTTCCTTCTCTCCGTCGTTCAAGGAAGATCTGCCTCGCTTCCTCCCGTCTCCGTCCGGGTTCTTCTCCCTCGTCTCCTTCTTCTCTCTCCTCCTCATCTCGGCAGCCAACTTTTTCTTCTCCTTGTCGGGATTTAAGCTGGCAGGTATCTTCTTGGCCCGAGTCTCTCTGAACCTTGGCGGCTCCCCCAGGAACACGTCCGAGTAATTCACGTTGGCCAGGTCGTATCTCTTGGATATTCTTTCCTGCGATGATGATGATAAAAACCCACGATTAATAAGTTATGGAGAATAACGCTCAGCTCCACCCCTCCCTCTATACACTGCCCCACCCCTCCCTCTATACACTGCTCCACCCCTCCCTCTATACACTGCTCCACCTCTTCCCTATACACTGCTCCACCCCTCCCCTCTATACACTGCTCCACCTCTCCCCTCTATACACTGCTCCACCCTCCCTCTATGCACTGCTCCCACCCCCTCTACACTGCCCCACCCCTCCCTCTATACACTGCTCCACCTCTCCCTCTATACACTGCTCACCCCCTCCCTCTATACACTGCTCCACCTCCCTCTATACACTGCTCCACCCCTGCTCCACCCCTCTATACACTACTCTGCCACTATACACTGCTCCACCTCCCCTCTATACACTGCTCCACCCCTCCCTCTATACACTGCTCCACCTCTCCCTCTATACACTGCTCCACCCCTCCCTCTATACACTGCTCCACCTCTTCCTCTATACACTGCTCCACCCACTCTATACACTACTCCACCTATGTATAGCCACTATACACATCTCTTTACACTGTGTTAAGAATATATAAAACATCTTACTTTTATGACCCAAAAGCCAGAGGAGGAGAGCTGGACACACTGCTTGAGGAAGAGTTTACACTTCTCCCGGGTGAAAGTTCCCTTAATGCGCCGTATCTGTTCCCAGGAGACTATGTGCTTCTGTAACACAAAAAAAACAAAATAAAAACAATAACTACAACACAAGGAACACTATGATAACTACAACAAAAGGAACACTATGATAACTACAACACAAGGAACACTATGATAACTACAACACAAGGAACACTATGATAACTACAACACAAGGAACACTATGATAACTACAACACAAGGAACACTATGATAACTACAACACAAGGAACACTATGATAACTACAACACAAGGAACACTATGATAACTACAACACAAGGAACACTATGATAACTACAACACAAGGAACACTATGATAACTACAACACAAGGAACACTATGATAACTACAACACAAGGAACACTATGATAACTACAACACAAGGAACACTATAATTAAAACACCATCACCACCACTATTACCTTTGCCTGCTTATAGTCCCACGGCTCCTTCTCGATGACCTCGTACTTGAAGGTGGCAAACGGCGGGTACTCCTCCTCCTCCTCCTCCTCCTCCTGCACAGCCTTCTTGATGGGTGTCACTTCCTTAATGATCTGTATGTCCTCATCATTCTCTGTCTCCCCTGTTCTCTTCTTCTCCTCTTCTTCACCAACCTGCATCTGTTCATCTTTCTTCTTTGTCGACTCCTCGTTGTCTTCATCGGAGTCTGCCATCTCCTCCTCGTAGCGGGCTATCTCCTCCAGTGTGGGGTATATTGGCCGGAGCACCTGTAACAACACGCCCAGTATGAGAGAGGGAGAGATAAACAGTGGCAGATTGGCTCCCCTATAATCAGGATTTAAGATGAGTTCAGCCTGGTAAGAAAGATTAATATTTCCACCAGTGTATAGTATAATAGTTCACATCCATATAATATACAACCACATAACACATCCCTGTCTAACACTCACATTTATTTCTTCCTCACTTGACCGGCTGTTATCATACAATGTTTTTTACTGCATTTAATAGCCTTCCTCCCACCCTATACACTTGTAATGTCTCCCACAATGTGTTTCTCTTCACCCTATAATATACCTTTTCTAAATCTACCATAAATCATTAAAATCATCTGTAAGTAATAATAACAAAAAAAAACTTATTAAAACCAAGATAAATTAAATTATTTGGTGTAAATCAGCCAACCTTGAGAGAGCATAAACTTAAATACAGTATCCGAGTCAACTGAAAATGGGAAAACACCAGTGGCGGACTGGTCCCGGTGGGCCCCAAAGTGATGGTCCATCACTCTGAAAATAACGGAAAAAAGATAAAAGAGATATGAGGTTTATGAGATATTAACTCAATCCGTACCAATGCGCCCGAATTTGACCCGAAACTACGCCATGTGTTTACAATCGTCTAGCAATTCAAATCTTGCCGAACGAGATTTCCGGCGAAAACGACCTTCTCGGCGCGATCTCCAGTTTATTTTTACCGAAAACCGGATGTTTATACAGTATCTACTTTAGTTTACACTCTACCATAAGCTGTTTTTCAACAAGTAGCACATTTAAATTTCTTCAATCGCTTATTGATACAGTGGTACCTCGCTTGATACAGTGGTCCCTCGCTTGATACAGTGGTCCCTCGCTTGATACAGTGGTCCCTCGCTTGATACAGTGGTCCCTCGCTTGATACAGTGGTCCCTCGCTTGATACAGTGGTCCCTCGCTTGATACAGTGGTCCCTCGCTTAACGAACACAATTTGTTCCAGAAGGTTGCTCGACACTCGTTAACCGAAACCATTGTTTCAATGGGTTTTTGGGTAAATGGTTCCAGCTCACCGAAAATTTCCTTAAGTCAACAAAAAAGGTAGTAAAGTACACTTACTTTGAGGTGTGCATGTAGAAGGCTCCTGGATGATGATAATGGGAATTAGAATGGGGGTGGAGGAGAAGGGAGAAGAGAAGGCATTGGGGTGGAAGAGAAGTCACCCCATGGCGCCATTTCACCAATAAAATTTTAATTCTCTTGGTGTAATTCAAGATTATTTGTTTTAAACCAACACTGCACTGCATTATATATTGTCAACATGTAAAATATATTTCAAAATGACCAATAATTTGACTGGAAACACAGAAAAAAGCATTTATGTTGAAGAGAGTCTGAAGCAAGATGTTACCTCCACTGTAAAGACACAGGGACTGACGCCTGTATGGTGTGTTGACAGGCTGTTTGGTGCGCTAAAAACTAGTTTCCCTATACTTAAATTATGTTAAATAATTGTTAAAATGACTAAAAATTGTAATATAAGACTTTGAAAATTATTGAATAGTACAAACTTCTTGATATTTACTAAAATAGTAAGGAATTTAAGCCCTAGAACCGATTACTGTATTGGCGGACTAATACGACAGCTAGTGTGCAAGCGAAAACATGTTGAGGGCCGCTCGAAAGGAATTCGTTAATCGAGGGATTGCTCGTTAACCGAAGTTAAGAATCTTACGGAAGGTAATTCGTTAACCGAGGGATCACTGTAATTTCAATTTTGACAATGAAAACGAATCGGATGTAGATCTACAGCGTGAGGAAGTGTTTTTCAGTGATATGAGTGAAGTGGGGACTGCAGAAGATGTGGATTCACATGCAGATTCGGATATAGATCTAGAATGGTCAGATCGACCCGCTTTTATCCAATGTCTTCCATTTTTTTAATTTTTTAATCAATTCATCAATAAATATAGTATGAACATTATATAGTTTTAAAGCTTAATTATTTCTCTTTATTTTGGTGTCAGTTTCATTATGATTGATAAATATGAAGACTACGCTAGAACATAGTGGAGAACATCGCAGGTGCGTCGTTTGATGGAGCTGCTAACATGAGAGGTGAATACAGCGGTGTGGTGAAGTATATAAGAGATGAAGCCCCACAATCTGTATACATTTGGTGCCATGCTCATATCCTTAATTTGGCATCAACAGATCTGGTCCAAAATATTCTGCCGGTCAAAAACTTGATCGGACTACTACAGTCAACAGTGAAATATTTTTCAGAATCATGTAAGAGAATGAACATCTGGACAGAAGTTGCTTCAGAGAAGATGGTTGGATCAGCGAAACCAAAACGTTTGCAGAAGATTGGAGAAACCCGTTGGTGGGCTAAACACGCGGCCCTTGAACATATTTTCGGAAGTTTTGACTCGCCACAGCCTGAGTTGTTTCACCTCTCGATTTATGTCTTGCTTCGGATTGTCGAATCTCCCAATTTTGATGCGAAAGTTGCTTTTGAGGCCAATTCACTTCTTGATAAATGGCGTATCTTTGACACTCATTTAACTAGTTTCTTGTTATTGCAGGTGTACGGTACCCTGAGATCGGCCTCGGAATATCTGCAAACTGAAGGCCTAGATTGTCTTAGTGCCTGGAATATGGTAGAAAAAGCAAAAGAGGTTTTAAAACAACTGGACAAAAACATCATGAAAACAACAAGAAATTTCATTGTGGCAGCGAATCAAATATTCGATGATGATGAGGTAACTGATTTTGCAATAGAAGGGGAATTCAGGAAGATGAGAACATCAAGAAAGAGACGAATGCCTGGTAACTCCAGAGGGATGAAAGAACTGATGACCCAGTGGATCGCTACAGGGTGGAAGTGTTTCGTCGAGTGATCGACCAAATTACGACAAGTATTGTTTTGATCCATGTCGTTTCCAAGAACTCAAAGAAGATGGATTGCCACCAGAAGCGCTGAAAAACATATGCAATCATCTTGGTTTGGACAAGCAGGAACTGAGCAATGAATTGCAGTCTTTCATCCTAAACTTCGACAGCCTTTCGAAAACTCTGAATGAAGAGTTTGCAACAACCAGACACCTAGAATCAGAACAGATATTTCAAACTCACTTTGATGTAATTTCAGGTCCACGTTGCACTTCTGGAAAGTCATGTAGGAAGTGCCTGCTCTGCTGTTTCCGTATCCTCTTTAAGTATTCTTTGCAAGCATCTACATACTCGAATTTGTTCTTAGCTTACAAATATCTTTTGACCCTGTTGTTCACACAATCCAGTTGCTAATGCGCATTCAGTAAGTTGAAAATTGTAAAAACTCGATTACGCTCTTTGCTATCAAATGAGCTACTTGAAACTTTTATGCTCATGAGCATCGAAAAAGATTTACTTTCTGAAATTTCTGTGGATGATATTACAGCAAAACCTCGATTAACCGACCACATATGGGGTGAAGGGGCCGACGGATAATCGAAAAGGTCGGTTAAAAGTACATCAAAGTCTACGGAAATAAAACATTTTCAAAGTACCTTTCCCTAACCTACCTCATTTAAAGTACCTTTCCCTAACCTACCTCATTTAAGTCCCTCTATTCATTTTTGTTCATTTGCCATTCATATTTCAATAGAATTTGCTTTAAAACATTAACCACTTTAGTCAATAAATATGAACCAGCACAGAAACCGTGAATAAAAAATAGAAAAGTCAAAGAACATACGTCATCACAAAAATTGTGACCAAGTCCCAGGTTGCTGATCTGACTTTCTGCCTCATGTACACACAATTGCAGGGTCTCAATTGTTTCTCTTACTATTGACAACACAACATACATACAGGCACTTTGTTTCTCACTCTTGTTTTCTTTTCATTTTTGCATTTCTTTATGGTTCTTTATTATTATTATTATTATTAGCATTATTAATATTATTACATTATCAGCCCCCCAGGCCCCGATGTGGGTCAGTGACCTGTGCCTGAGTGGGCTAATCCCTGAGTAAAAAAAAAAAAAATAAATAAAAAAATTAGGGGTTCGGGATTTACGGTTAATCCGAAAGTCGGTTAATCGAGGTTTTACTGTAGTCCTTTTCTTGAGAAAAAAATCGACACAGTTTTCTAGATTGCTTGCTGTCTAGGTGATTTGTGCTTTGTAAACTACTGAATTTTGACTGTTTTAGTGATATGTGCACACATTAAAAAATGCACACATTCCAATTTTAATTATACTTTGAAAACAATTTCAAATTATGCTTTGTAAATTACTCAGATTGGTTGTTCAATGATCGAGATTTTCATTTTTATTATAAGATTATTAAAATTTTCTAGTACAGGTATTTTGCTGCACACATTATAAACACAACAATATTGAATAGATGTAACATTTTATTTGCTTAAAACATTTAATTTTATTTGATTCCTTTGACTACGTTTTGGGATTAAGTGGGGCCTTTTAAGTGGGCCCTTTTGAGTGGGCCCTTTTACAAGTTTTCCCGGTAGAAATTTTTGACCCAGTCCGCCACTGGAAAACACCATATTGGTGACCATGTCCTTGTTGCACGAGAAGCCTCATGTGCTAGGTTAGATTATGTAATAAGGCACGAGGTTAGGTTATAGTCTGTTGGGTTATATTATTATGTCAGGTTAGGTTTACACCATATGGTGTACAGGTTTGGGCTGTACAAATATGACACAATATTGTATTCTCTCCTTCCCTAGATATATCTCTTGTAGCCGCCTGGCCGTAAGTATTGCCTCGGTAGTCCCCCGACCTTACATTAATCCAAACTGCATTTCCTTTTTCAATCTTTCTTTCTCCAACTTTGACAGCCTGATGTAGCAGCTTCAGGCCCCTGTAGTGCCCACGTTCACCTTTACTCTAGTAAGAACAGTATTCATGATCACTCTTCCTCCCAATACATTCCACCATGATTTCATTTGTAAATTCAGTCACCATTGATGCACTTACATCACCTGATACTTCTGCCTTTCTGCACCTATCCCAGACTTTCCTGCAGCGTTTTCATTCTTTATTTTACCAGGTGCTTTCTCCGCCCAGTCTCTTCCAATCATTGGGCATGGTTCCTGTACTGGTTCTACTACCTCTAGGCTGCCACTGTCCCATTCTTACTCCTCATTCAGCAGTTCATCATAGTACTTTCTCCAAGCATCCTTGATTCCCTTGTTTCACACACACACACACACACACAGCTCACCAACATCCTTGTTTCTACCCACCATTTGCTGTCTGTTCTGTTCACCTCACCTCTAACATCTGCACTATTCAACATATCCAAGAATGTGTGCTGTTCATATCCTCTTAGCCTTATAAAACTCTCTTCTGTACCATATTTGGCCTCCAGGTACTCCTCCTTTCACCACCATCCCCCAGGCCTCACACAGCACAATCTTCTTGTCTCCTTTATCTGTCTATTTCATCATTCCACCACTATGTCTGGCAGGGCTCTCCGTGCAGCCACATGTCTCGTCAGCCACACTCAGCAGGACAATTTATTTTGGCCCAGATCTCACTACACTGTCCCTCCCACTGTTGTTTCCTTCATTCTTCTCAACTGGGCATAAAAATCTTTGCTTACATTCTGTTTCATCAACTTTCACACACTGCTTCCAATAACCATCCTCTTCACCATATAAGCAACATGTCACACAGTGTTACAAGACTCATTCTTCCCCTAAACATCCCGAACAAGTTTCCTGTCTCATATCCCAATGAGAAGGTAATCAATCTGGGTTTTCATTCCTCCGGACTCGTACATAAACAACTACGGTACTTCTCAAACACTCAGGATCACTGCATCCCCAAGCACCAAGTTTTCTTTCTCATTCCAAGTGTTAAGGAATCCATAAATCACACAAGACACCTACCTTACAGTCATACCAATGCTTGTTTACAATGGCCTCAACTTCTTCCCCGACAAAATATCGGTCACGAACAAAGTTGAAGACATCTTCACTCATGTCTGCATAACGTCCACGGCGAGTCAGGGTGGCAATGTACAGCATGGGCTTCCGGATTACCTGTATGGAGTATTGTATGCTGAACTAAACCGATACAAGCTAACTTAACAATGTGTTAGAAGCATCACAAGTAATTATTAACATATAACTCTTTCTTTTACCTGAATATCTTGGGCCAGAAAGGTGTATGAGGGTCAAGCAGGTGTATGAGGGCCAGGTAGGTATGAGGACCAGGAAGGTGTGTAAGGGCCAGGTAGGTGTGTAAGGGCCAGGTAGGTGTGTGAGGACCATAGGATGGAGGGAATCAGTAACTTGAGTCACAGAACAGGACCAACTCTTTGTTCAAGTTACTAACACTGGCTACAATAACTGGCCTCATAACCAGGACTGGCTACAATAACTGGCCTCATAACCAGGACTGGCTACAATAACTGGCCTCATAACCAGGACTGGCTACAATAACTGGCCTCATAACCAGGACTGGCTAAAATAACTGGCTTCATCTCACATTTTACAACACTCCCCCATCCTTCCACAGTGTTTATACAGACTATAGCAGCGGCTCACCTGAGGAACATTAGCAAGGCACTTTTTGGCTTTGGTCTCACTCTCGCTAGCTTCAGCGTAGGTGAGGTTGGGGCGTCCTGTCAGCTCACACGTCCATACCATGGCATTACACAGGACCAACCGCTCCCAGTACTCTCTGTAATACACAACAACAATAATTCCTGCCACCTGTATAGTTATCATCTACACCACTGCCTATACAGTATAGCTACCCTTGCTATTTGTGATTTTGACGATTCGAGGAAAGCAGATGGTGGCTAGCTTGACTGCCTTTTCCAACGAGTCACCCCACCCGCCTGCAGCATCTCATCTGCCTCTGCTCACCAGTGACCCAGCATCTCGTGTTGTACAGTACTCTCACAACTTTAGTGTTTTGTGTGAAAAATGGTCCCTAAAAGACTGCCTAGTGTCAGTGATGCTAGTGGAATGAAAAATAAAAGGTAAAAGTCAGTGATGACCTTGACAAAGAAAGTTGAATTATTAGACAAGTTAAAGGAGGGGACGAGTGTTATTATTGACAGATAATGCACCAGGCCACCCAGAATGTTTACAGCTTAGCCATCCAGGTGTAGAAGTGGTGTTCCTACCCCCTAACACCACTGCTCTTATTCAACCTCTCGATACACACCTTCGAGATATATTACACACGCGGCTCTTTTGGTCGTATCCGTAGTGCCATGGATGAAGACCCTGACCTTGATGTTAACAAGTGTTGGAAGGAGTACAGCATTGTGGGCTGTATTACCAACATCAGTGAAGAATTCAATACACCAGAGACAGTGAATGCATGTTGGCGCACCTTATGACCCGAGTGTGTGAGTAACTTCCAGGGATTTCCGTCCATAGTAAAGGATGTGAATGACATTGTGAGTGTTGCACGTCAGCTGGGTGGTGAGGTGTTTGTGGACATGGCTGTTGATGATGTGGAAGATCTGATTGATGGGAATGGAGAGGAACTGACAGAAGTAGATTTGGAAAAGTTGGTAAAAAGCTACTACCACTGCCGCTCCACCCTCCTCCTCCCAGCCACGAGCCACCTCCCGGTCGCGCGCCACCTCCCGGTCGCGTGCCACCTCCCGGTCGTGCGCCACCTCCCGGTCGCGTGCCACCTCCCGGTCGCGTGCCACCTCCCGGTCGTGCGCCACTCCACCAACCACCACTGCAGCACCCTCTTCCACCAGTGATCCTGATGATCCACCTATGCTTCAGTAACCAGATGTCTCCCTATGTACAGTGCACCACTTCATCAAGCTCCCACATAAGAATGTAAGGACAGTACAGTATTGTGAGTAAGTTTCTCATTCACAGTATATATTGGCATACAGTAGTGCACTAAGGTCGTAGTATATAAGTGGCTATTACCGGTTCTACCAATTCGTGCTACTCCTTGGAACCTAACCCTTGTGAATAGCAAGGGTTTACTATATCACTTGTACAGTGATCCCTCGGTTAACGAATTACCTTCCATATGATTCTTAACTTCGGTTAACGAGCATTCCCCCGATTAACAAATTCCTTACAAGCGGCCCTCAACATGTTTTCGCTTGCACACTAGCTATAGTATTAGTCCGCTAATACAGTAATCGGTTCTAGGGCTTAAATTCCTTACCATTTTAGTAAATATCAAGAAGGTTACACTATTCAATCATTTTAAAAGTTTTATATTAAATTTTTTAGTCATTGTAACAATTATTGAACATAATTGAAGTACAGGAAACTAGTTTTATGCGCACCAAACAGCCAGTCAGCACACCAAACAGGCGTCAGTCTCTGTGTCTTTTCAGTGGAGGTAACATCTTGCTTCAGACTCTTCAACATAAACGCTTTTTTTCTATGTTTTCAGTCATATTATTGGTCACTTTGAAATTTATTTTACATATTGATGATATATAGCGCAGTGCAGTGTTGATTTAAAGAAAATATTCTTTATTTACAGCAATTAAGCTTAAAATATCACTTGTTGAAATTGTTTTTGAATCCAGCATGGGTCCCAAGAAATCTAGAAAAGCGATTTCAATTCAGATGAAACAGGAAATTATTAAGAAACATGAAGAAGGCATTAGAACACATGTGCTAAGCAAAGAATATGGCATGTCGACATCAACTGTGTCAACAATTCTTGCACAGAAAGACAAATTCAAGGAAGTGATAGTGAGACAAATCTACCACAGTGTTTAAAGGTAGATCCCTAATAGCAGAAACAGAGAGGTTACTTCTCATTTGGATTAGGGAAAAACAAATGAAAGGTGATTCAGTTTCTACTGAATTTATTTGTGAAAGAGCCAGGGAAATATACGAACATTTAAAGGTAGATCAACCTGGTTCTTCAGGCACAGACTTTGAAGATTTTAGGGCCAGTAAAGACTGGTTCGAAAAATTAAGAAAAGAAGTGACATATTTAGTGTTGTTAGGCATGGTGAGGCTGCCAGTGCTGATAAGGAAGGAGCAGCAAAGTTTTAGTGGAATTTAAAGAACTGATGGATACAGAAAATTATCTTCAACAGCAAGTGTTCAATGTGGACGAAACTGGGCTGTTCTGGAAAAAAATGCCCAAAAGGACCTTCATCACCAGAGATGAAGCCTCTTTACCTGGGCATAAACCCATGAAAGACCGTCTCACTCTATTGCTTGGTGCCAATGCTTCAGGGATTTCCGACTGAAGCCTATGCTTGTCTACCACTCTGAGAACCCCAGGGTGTTCAAGCAACAGAAAGTGGTAAGAGGACGGCTTGGAGTTTATTGGAAGTCCAACTGTAAGGCATGGGTGACAAGACAACTCTTTAATGAATGGGCTGTTGAGGTGTTTTGCCCTTCTGTCAAGAGCTACCTAACCACCAATAAACTCCCTTTAAAGGCTCTTCTCCTCATGGATAATGCTCCTGGTCATGACCCTCAACTTGCCAGCACTTTGGAGGCTCGATTTGACTTTGTCAAAGTGTTGTTTTTGCCTCCTAACACTACATCAATCATACAGCCAATGGACCAGAATGTGATCAGCAACTTCAAGAAGCTGTACATGAAGAAAATGTTCAGGAGGTGTCTCAGGCAACTTCCACTGATCCTGAACTAACACTGGCACAGTTCTGGAAGGCAAAGTTTAACATCCTGGAGGCTGTAAAATTGATTGTGTCCTCATGGCAAGAAGTCTCCACTAGAACCCTCAATTCTGCATGGAAAGCACTGTGGCCATCAGTAGTCCATGATTTTGAGGGATTTCAGGATGACAGAGTTGGACAAGGAGATTGTGTCCATTGGTCAGTCATTGGGCCTTGAAGTGGAGGAGGATGATGTGGAAGAGCTTGTGATGTCTCATGAGCAGGAACCTACTCCTGAAGACTTGCAGCAACTGGATGAGATGTTAGAGGCTGACAGTGGTGAGGAGGAAAGGGAAAGTGATGACCATATGTCAACTTCAGAGTTGAAAGATGTTGTTCACCACTGGGAGAAGTTCAGGAAACTGGCTTCAAGGCATCCTGATGTGGAAAAGTCTGAACTAGCTTTGTGTCATGTTGAGGACACAGTGGTCTTCTTCAAACATCAGTTAATGAGGAGGAGAGATGCCCCACAGACAAAAATTGACAGCTTCTTCAGTAAAAGGCAGCGGAAACAAGATGCTAGCCTTCAGCCTTCCACTTCATGAAGGAGAGAGGATGTTCCTGGTGGAGAATCTGTCAGTCCAGAGGTTCCTGACATTTTCTTGGAAGGTGACTCACCTTCCAAGAAGCAGTAAAATGCTTCTCCTCCACCTCCACTTCCTTCTCTTCTCCCTTCTCCTTATTAACTCTCCTCCTTTAGTCGACAATCTATTTCCTTTTCTCTTCGCCGCAATGGTGCTTCACTCTCTCTCTTTTACAGGTACTTTAACGGGCAATGTTCAGTGGATTTGGCATCCTGTGTACCGCCGGCAAGGCCATGGGTTCGTAACACACGTCTTGCCCGCGGTGCCCACCATTTCTCTGTGGATGTCGGTCACACGAGAATAACCCGTTATAGTACATCCTTCTTTCCTCACACAGCCAAACTGTGGAATGCTCTGCCTTCTTCTGTGTTTCCATGCTCTTACAATCTGTCTCACTTTAAAATGCTGGTTTTCCAGCATCTTCGTGGTGTAGATTAATACAGTATAACCCCTTTTTCTATATTTTCAATTTCTTTCCGTTCTTTTTTTTTCGCCCCCCAGGCTCCGTTGTGGGTCGTTTGACCTGTGCCCGGGTGGGCTAATTCCCGTAAAAAAAAAAAAATTCGTCATCTCATCATCCAGGAGCCTTCTACATACACACCTCAAAGTAAGTGTACTTTACTACCTTTTTTGTTGACTTTAGGCAATTTTTGGTGAGCTGGAACCATTTACCCAAAAACCCATTAAAACAATGGTTTCAGTTAACGAATTTTTCGGTTAACAAGCAACCTTCTGGAACGAATTGTGCTCGTTAACCGAGGGACCACTGTATAGTTACCACCTATTGCACTAGTAAGACAACCAATATTACTAGTAGGACAGACAACCAACATTACTAGTAAGACAGACAACCAACATTACTAGTAAGACAGACAACCAACATTACTAGTAAGACAGACAACCAACATTACTAGTAAGAGACTAGAAACAAACAGCTAGTCAGGATATCCTGTTTCTTCACAGCTACCAAACTGTTCTTGTACAGTGTGTTGTGTGTGAGTGTGTGTATGTGTCTGTGTTGTGTGTGTGTGTGTGTGTGTGTGTGTCTGTGTTGTGTGTGTGTGTGTGTGTGTGTGTCTGTGTTGTGTATGTGTGTGTGTGTGTGTGTGTGTGTGTGTGTGTGTGTGTGTGTGTGTGTGTCTGTGTTGTGTGTCTGTGTTGTGTGTGTGTCTGTGTTGTGTGTGTGTGTGTGTGTGTGTGTGTGTGTGTCTGTGTTGTGTTTGTGTTGTGTGTGTGTCTGTGTTGTGTGTGTGTGTGTGTGTGGTGTTTGTGTTGTGTGTGTGTGTGTGTGTGTGTGTGTCTGTGTTGTGTTGTGTGTGTGTGTGTGTTGTGTGTGTGTGTTTCTGTGTTGTATGTGTGGGTGTGTGTGTGTAAGCATCCAATGTAGTACAATTAAAGCAATTTATGCCTGCAAAGTTTTATTAAACATAATTTTAAGCAGAATATAATTTAGAAGCGAGTTATCTGAAGCTCAAA